CACTCACCTCAGCCTCCCAAAGGCGCGAGATTACAGGCTGAGCCACCGAGCCCAGCTTAGAGAAAATTTAAAACTAAGCCTAGAGTGGTGGCACACGCCTGTAGTCCCAGTTCCTCAGGAGGCTGAGGCAGAAGGATATCCTGAGCCCAGGAAGAAGAGGCTGGGGTAAGCCGTGATTGTGCTACTGCACTCCAGCCTGGGCCACAGAGTGAGACTACTTCCCTAAACCGAAGTCAGTTCTGCAGCTGATGGCCTTTGGACTTGACCTGTGACATCGGTGCTTTCCTAGGTCTCCAGCCTGCCAGTTCACCCTGAATATTATGGACCAACTTCCATAATCACGTGAGCCATTTTTCTACAATAAATCTCTCTCTCTCTCCACATACACATGCGTATCCCATTGGTTCTGTTTCTCTGGAAAACACTGATAACTAATACACTTGGGCAGATCCATCCCATCTCTGTGCCTCAGTTTACTCATTCATAGTATGGAAGGGTACTAGGTGGCCCACGAGGGATTGCCCACCTCTGAAATTCTGGAGGATTCCCTCTTCTTTCGAAGACCCTTTGGTTGCAACAGTATAGACTACAACCGTACCTCTCGACAACTAGCCGAAGCCCAAAAGGACTGGAGAACAATTTATTCGCCATCACATACGAGCCAAGACTGGTGTTCAGCGCCCAGGAGTGTGTTAGATACTAACCTAGTGTCTCACTTATGTGTGTGTGTGAAAACCTGAGCGAAAAGCTGGGACCTTTCGCCTCGAGCCCCTGTATGGTGCTTGTCCTGGAGTCTGAGTGAGAATCCCTCTCTCAGGAGCAAACCCCGCCACTGAGCTCCCACCTGGTGCTGGGCCCTGCTGGTCCAGCTGCCGTCAGCCCAGGCCACAGAGCAACCAGGAAGCTTATTGGGAGGGGTCCAGGGTAATGGGGGCCTAGGGGCTGCACCTGGCCCTTCCTCTGGTCTTTTGTGTGGGAGGTAAATGCCAGTCCCGCCACGGCCTTCAGGGTGAAGGCAGGGAACTATCAGGGAATGTTCTGGAAGGCTGACTCTGCAGAGAGCTCCAGATACCTTGGTATGGTGAGGGATACCCAGACTGCAGAAATCCGGGAGGCTGTTCCAGGCCTCCCCGCTACTCCAACCCACAGGCTCAGTTTCTTCGCACTGGAAACACTTCCAAGGAAAAAGTCCACTTCTGGGCTTCAGCTTGGCCTCCACCCACCCGGGTTTGGACTTTGGACCAGCTCCAGCTAGGGTGGGGCTTCCGGGACTCCCAAGCTCTGGCCCTGAGAATCACAAGGCAGAAGGGAGCGCCCCTTTCTGGTCCCAGCAAGTCAGCCTCCTCACACCAGCCCTCGGTTTCCAGGACTTCACTCCCTATGGCACCCAGGCCAGGATCCCATCAGGAGAGGGAGGAACCGTGGTGGTGTTTAGTCCCAAGAAAGGCTGTGTGACCTTGGACACATCCTTTGGCTTCTCTGGGCCTCCGTATCCTTATCTGAAAGAGCGGAGTGATCACCTCGATTCTGCAGGGTGGTGAGGTTGGAGTGTGGAAGTGGCGGCGACAGGGTCTGCCATGGTGGTAGGCGCTCGGTGATGGCTTCCTTCTGCTGTGAAGTCCCAACCTAGCCGATCAGTCACACGGGGCAGCCCCACTAGCAATGGAGGACATGACCATATGTGGAGGTTGCTTTCTGAGCTCAAGGATCCAGCCATTCCAGCTCCAGAGACCCCGTTAGAAGTGGATTTGAGCAGAGGAGAGCAGAGGGAAGACCAGGAGGGCGTGGGGGCCAGGGTCCACACCCAGCCCTTGCCAACCCACTGCCGAAGGGGCAGGCTTGTGTTCCCTGCTCTGCAGACATGCAGGCCCTGGGGCAGAGGAAGGGAGGTGGGGAGAAGACCCCAGGTTCCCCCCACTGATGTACTCCAGCCCAAGGGGCTGTGGGGGGTCGGGGTGGGCTTTGGGGCTGGGCAGGAGGGTGCTGGGCTGAGAGGAAGACCCCAGCAGGCCGGAGCCAGTGGGTGAAGCAGACAGGACAGGGCTGGGGGGCGGTTGGGCAGGAGATGCGGTAACCCCAGCGGGGTCAAAGGACAGCGAGGTCAGAGGGGACAGGAGGTGGCCAGGGGGAGAGGCAGCTTGTTGTCCATGCAGGGCGGGGCCGGGGGGCTGCTGGGCCTGGTCCCAGCACCCAGGAGAGCTGGAGGCACAGTCCACATGGCACAGGCGCTCATGCACTTGCAGGGCCCGCCTCCACCATGCCAGCTCGGCCTGCAGGGCCCAAATCTCCTTCCGCAGGGCCTGGCTGCGTTTCTCCAGGGACTCGTGTTGCTGCAGAGAAGCAGATGGGGAGGGAGGGGCCGTCAGCCAGCATTAGGGGCCCTGCGTGAGCCCTGCTCCCTCCAGGGTCTTCGGCTTCCAGAGACAGATGTCACCATCACCTAAATGTTCGATGTGCTCCCCAGGCCGCCCTGGCCAGCCTTTCACAGGGTCACCCCTGTTCCACCTGCTGGCAGGGCTCAGATCCGCCTGCCCTCCATCCTACCACTGTGCCCTGGGCAGCACTATTTCTCAGCTGGGATTGCCAGTGGCCTCCTAACCAAGGGCCCAAGGGCCCAAGCCACCCCATTCTTTTTATTTTTTTGAGTCGGAGTCTCACTCTGTCGCCCAGATTGGAGGGCAGGGGCACGCTCCCGGCCAATGCAGCCTCGACCTGCTGGGGTTCGGCGATCCTTCTGCCTCAGTCTTCCAAGTAGCTGGGACTACAGGTGTGCACCACCACACTTGGCTAATTTTTTGATTTATTGCAGAGATGAGGTCTGGCCAAGTTGCCCAGGCTGGTCTCGAACCTGTGGGCTCAGGCAATCCTCTCACCTCGGCCTCCCAAAGTGTGGGGATTATAGGTGTGAGCCACCATGCTGGGCCAGGCTAAAGCTCTTTAGAGGCTCCCACAACTCGCAGGGTCCCAATTCCCTGCTGTGAGACTCGAGGCCTTGTGTGGTGGCCCAGCTCAGACCTCCAGCTTTCTCCTCCCTTGCCCCCCTCCCTTCCTGTCCCTCGCATGAACTCTAATTCCTCTCCACGTTCCTGTTTCCTCTGCCTGGACTCCCTTCCTCTCCCCCCGCCCCCCCCCGTGCTAATCCTGACATGGCCTTCACGTGGCAACTTCGACGTCATTCTGTCCTGGACACTTCAGTCTGCTTCATGCCACTGCCAGACCTTTCCAGTGCCCGGAACTCGCCCACCAGAGCCCCGAGGAAGGACTCGAGGACTGTTTTTCAGGCTGACAGCACAGGAGTGTTGGATTGAGCACCTCTGAGTCAGCATTGATTATGCTCTGTTCAGTTGAACAGCAGGTTCTGACAGCCCACTGGGACAATAAACAACGTACAGTTCTAAATAATTATTTACAGCAAGGGTAAAAATGCAGAAATAATCTTATTGCCACAACTTAGAAGACAGGATAACTTAAACAACTTCCTTCAGTTCCCCCCCGGCCCCTTTTTCTGGGTACTTTGTTGATTGATTGATTGATTGATTGGTTGGTTGATTGGTTGGTTGTTTGGGTCAGGGTCTCACTCTTTTGCCCAGGCTTCAGTGCAGTGGCGCAATCACAGCTCAATATAGCCTTGACCTCCTGGGCGGAAGTAATCCTCCTGAGACTTTTTGGAGGTACGTTAGATTAAATGAGGCCATGAGGGTTTCGTTCTATCTGATAAGATTGGTGACCTTACAAGGAGCGGAAGGGGCTGGGCATGGTGGCTCATGCTTGTCATCTCAGCACTTTGGGAGGCCGAGGTGAGAGGACTGCCTGAGTCCAGAGGTTCGAGACCAGCCAGGGCAACTTGGCAAGACCTCGTCACTACAGTAAATCAAAAAATTAGCCGGGCATCGTGGCGTGCACCTGTGGTTCCAGCTACTTGGAAGGCTGAGGTGGGAGGATCACCTGATCCCAGCAGATCGAGGCTGCGGTGACTGTGAGCATGCCACTGCACTCCAGCCTGGGTGACAGAGTGAGACTCTGACTCAAAAAAAAAAAAAGAGGAAGGGAGAGAGATCACTCCTCTCACATACATTGAGAAAATGTCATGAGCACACAGTAAGAAGGCAGCCACCCACAAGTTCAGGAAGAGAGCCTTCATCTGAAACCGAATTGGCTGGCACCCTGATCGTGGACTTCCCAGCCTCCAGAACTGTGAGAGGTATTTTATTTTATTAGTTTAATTTTTTTTTGAGTTGAAGTCTCATTCTGTCACCCAGGCTAGAGTGCAGTGGCACAATCACAGTTCACCAAAGATTCGACCTCCTGGACTCAGGCAATCCTTCCACCCCAGCCTCTTACTCTGTCGCCCAGACTGGAGTGCAGCGGCCGCTCCCAGCCACCGCAGCCTCGACC